GGCATTTTGATAACGATGCATAGTTAGTAATTTTTGGTATTTAGATAAAATCATGTTAAATAAGAGATTAATTGATCAATCACATGGAATGCTTATTTAGATAATCTTTTTTTTCTTTATGATTTTGAGACTGTTTCTTTGTGTAATCCTGGCTGTCCCATAATTCACTGTGTAGCCCACTCTGACTCATGAGATCCTCCTGTCTCTGCCTCCCAAATGCTGGATTAAAGATGTGTGCCACAACTGCCCAGCCTAGTTCATGTTTTTATTAGTGACAGTAAGATCATATGTATATTTGGGTCAAGCTTGGTTGGTTGACAGTAAAACTTTGTTGTGGATAAATAAGGTAGTTAAGCCATTTATTTGGATCATACTTTATAATTGAGTTCTCCAAGTACCACATGGACCAAAACACAAAATATTTAATCACATATACTGTAATTGGGTATTTGAAGAACTTTCAAGGCCATTTAATACAAAATGCAACAAAGAATACTAAGAAACTAGTAGGATTTTTTGAGAACATGTTGAACTTACGGAACCCTGAAATAGAAAATGTTAACTTTGAAAGACCTACAAAATGGTTTATTGTGGACGTCTGGATGTTCTGTATAGTAACAATAAGATTGCAATGGTTGGGTTGTAGAGATGGGTCAACAGTTAAGAGCAGTTACAACTTTTTCAGGGAATCTGAGTGTAGTTCCCGGAACTGCGTGACAGCCCACAGCTGTCTAACTGCAGTAACTGCCGTACCAGGGATTTCAGCACCTCTTCTGGCACCATGACTTCTAAGCAAAGAAGGAAAACATTTAATTATGATGTCCCCTTTCCGTTTCAGAGACTCAGCACATTATCATTGTGCTGACAGGCAGGCAGGTGTGGTGCTAGAGTGTAGCCGAGAGTCCTACATCTTGCAGGCTGTAGGAAGTCAACTGAGACACTGGGTGGTCTCCTGAGAATGGGAAACCTCAAAGCGCACCCCCACAGTGACATACTTCCTCCAACAAGGCCATACCTGCTCCAACAAAGCCACAGCTCCTAACAGTGCCACTAGCTCTGAGGTTATAGGGGCCAGTTACAATCCAAACTACCACAGTGGGCATGCAGACAAAATGCTCATACATTGAATAAATAAATAAACAAACAATTTAGAAGTCTTGAGTGTTTTATTAGAGGTTTTTTGTTGTTGTTTTTTTCTTTCAAGACAGGGTTTTGGCTTTCTTGAAGCTTGCTTTGTAGACCAGGCTGGCCTCAACTCAGAGATCCACCTAGGAATTAAAGGAGTGTGCCACAGTGCTGTCTCAGATTTCTTAATAGTGCAAGTTTTTTTTGTTAATGCAAGCTCATACTTGCCTGTGTGTTCCCCCCCTCATGGTTATTATCCTCTTCTTTGAAATGTACTGACTAAGCATTGGTTTCATTTAGGAAATTAAAAAGTAAACATTACCTGTATGACCATCAAGATAGAGAATGGATAGCTGTTTAGATTGCATTTTTTAAATTTCATTTTCTATGCTAAAATTGAAGCAGTTCTTAGCATACAATGTAGTGTTTATTTTTAACATTTCTATGTAATATCTTCATTCTAGATGAAACATAAAAGCTAATGAAATTGTAACAACTTATAGACCACATATTCCTTCTGTCAGAGTATATTTCATTTATTTTTCCCTAGCCTCAGTATCAATATGAAGACATGTATTTGACCTTTAGCATTTATTGGTCTCTCAGGAGGTAACTGGTTCATTTAGCATGTAGGAGTGGAGTTAAACTAGGCTTGGGAGTTTTAAGTCATTAGACTTTGTAGGCCTGCAGATTGTTCTGTATTGGTTGAGTTATGTTAGTAGATCAGCCATATTTATTATATCTCTTAATGTTAAAAGGTGCTTTTGTGTTAGTGTGCACCTTGGAGAGGTATAGGAGTTAGTCAGTGTTTTTTGTGTTAGTGTGCACCTTAGAGAGGTATAGGAGTTGTCAGTTTCCATTCTTACCTTTAATTCATTTGCGGTGGAGCTTTGGTTGGTAACTTCTAAATTTCTGTATAAGCCGTAGTGTTTGATATAATAAAAAAGCGGTTTGATATAATCAAACCTGTGGGTCGTGACCCCTTTGGGGGTCAAAAGACCCTTTCAGAGGGGTCATATATCAATATATCCTACATATCAGATGTTTACAATTCATAACAGTAAAAAAATTACAGTTCCAAAATAGCAACAAAATAATTTTATGGTTACAGATCACCACAATGTTAGGAACTATATTAAAAGGTCCCAGAGTTAGGAAAGTTGAAGGCTTATGAGCCTTAGGATGCTGCTTTAAAAAGGCTTGGGCTTTCCTCAGGAAATTTAGGGGGTCATATATAGATAAGTACATACAAAAAAAAAAAGGTATAAATGTAATAGAAACACAGAACAAAGATGATTTAAAAATCTTGAATGAAGGGATGAGGGGGAAATTTGTGGAGAAAGTAGAATTAGGAAGCGCACTTGTAAAGTTCTGTGTTGTGAAGGAAATGGTAATTTTGGTACTGAGACAGAAGAGTGTAGAAAGCGTGATAGGGTTGATAGGTGAGTGAGTGGACTGTGCAGTGTTGTTGGTGAATAGTCAGAGTTAGAAATGCAAGCTGAAATACACTTCTAATATAGTTAGGAATTTTATTCTGTAACTATCAGATAGTAGTGATAAAAGTTATTAGGACACAAGTAGCAATTAGATCACAGGGCCTAAGCAAGTTTACATGAAACTGTCATTAAAACACATTTCATCTAATAGTTTATGTCTCATTAAATTCTCATATTTAAGGTAGATTGATGTAATGTTTTTAGATGTGTTAGTGAAATAATTTATAGAAACTCATACATGATTGGTGCTGTTTGTTTAGTTTGTTGTTTTGTGGAACATAGGGCTAGATCTAATGAAAAGCTCAGGTACAGAGACCTTGGTAACTGAAGAGCAGGCAGGTTTTAGTGACGTTTGAGCTAGAAATCTCCTGATGTTTTGTCATTGACTTGTCTCCCATTTGTGTTCTTTGCAGTAGTGACAATAATAGATAGGTGCCCAGTGAGATGCAACGGAAGTTAGATTAAGTCAAGTGACCTGTACGGCTGTGTGGTTTGCATTTTAGTTGTAGTTCCTCATCAGTATAAACAGAGACACGAAACTCCATTTTTATCAGTTCAAGGGAGCTTTATTTTGGAAGAAGTAAAAGACGATGAATGGAAAAAAGTACAGGATGGGAATAAAAAGCACAAGCAAAGTGTCAGATGGGAATAATTGTTTTCTGAACTTAATGAGTAGAATGCTGGAACATGAATCCAGTTCAGGAATAATGAGGCACCAGGCATGGGTGGTGCTAGCCTTTAATCCCAGCACTCGGGAAACAGAGGCAGGTGGATCTCTGTGAGTTTGAGGCCAGCCTGTCTTGAAAAACCCTTGAGAAACCCTGTCTTGAAAAACAAAACAAAGATAATAATGAGGGAAATACATTGTAATATATAATATTTCATAGAGATTTGAAGCATAGGGAGTAGGTAAAAATCTGGCTTTTTAAAACATAGATCTGTACAAAGAATCTTTCTCCTGTCCGTTATTACATTCATAGTAGAAGCACCTTTCATCCTAACCCTTGTGTAGTCACCATCTCTCTGTAAGCTAACCTCTCTCTGTAAGCTAACCTTTGGCACCATAAATGTGGAGATTTAACCTACAAAGAAAAATTTCAGATATTTTGAATTAACTTACACTGTCTATAGTAAAGTTGAAAAGTCCTACCTACAGTTAACCTGTAGCTTTAAAATCAGATTTTATTCTTATTGTCATACCCAATCCTTGTTGATTAAAATAAGATTTGGCAGACTAGAGAAATGTCACAGATGGTACTGTGTTTGCCACACAAGCATGAAGCATGAGGAGCTGAGAAAAGGTCCCCAACACCCACCAGTGCTTGGGGTGCAGAGACATGAGGGTTCTTGGAGCTGGTTGATCAGCCTTGCCAGGTTCAAGGAGAGACACTGTTCCAAAAACAAAGTAGAGAGGTTGAAGAGATGGCTCAGTGATTACGAGCACTTGTCCCTGGTTTGGCTCTCACCCTTCACATGGTGGCTAACAACTGTCTTTAACTCCCAAATTCCACAGGTATCTTTATGGCCTTTAATCCCATCACTGGGGAAGCAGAGGCAGGTGGATCTCTGAGTTCCAGGACAGCTAAGGCTACACAGAGAAACCCTGTCTTGAAAAACAACAAAACAAAACAGGGTGGGGTGGGGGTTAAATTTCTTGGTATCTGCAAACTGTGATATCTGACTATCCGACAGGTTTGTTTGTTTTGTTTTTTGAGACAGGGTTTCTCTGTGGCTTTGAAGGCTGTCCTGGAACTAGCTCTGTAGACTAGGCTGGTCTCAAAGTCACAGGATCTGCCTACTCTCTGCCTCACGAATACTGGGATTAAAAGCGTGTGCTACCACTACCTGGCTCTGACATGTTCTTAATTTGTATTATTTCTGTGTAATTAACCCTAACATTGGCTTAACATGTAATGTTATTGTCTTCTTGATGTAAGTTTGATTTTGTTCATTATAAAAATATATGATTCACAATTCTGTCATTTCCTTCAAGCCATGTGTTAGCAACAGTAGTTGACACCAGCTAGAGAAACACTGGTCTGTTTGTGAGTGAGCTGACTTCTATCACTATATTAGTTATAAGGGTTACATTGTCTGTATATAGTCTGCAATATTCTGAAATTTAAGAGATTTATTTTTCTTAGGTAACAGTTTATTTTCTAAGAATATTTAATTACTATATTCATCCCAAAGCAACTTCTTTATTATGGTTTTAGTTTTCTTGAGAGAACTTGCAGCTAAAATAGGAGAGAGGAAGGGTGTAATCTAAGTACAGTCATACAGCCTTACTTTGTAAATAACCAGAGTGCTATGTGTGCATGTTGTTGGGCTCCTGGACAGTGGAAATAAAGTCATTTGCATGTTTTTCTCTCTGTACAGCTTAAAATGACAAATGTGTAATCTCCGTGGAATAAATGGCGTCCAAAGTCACAGATGCTATAGTCTGGTATCAAAAGAAGGTGAGTTGATAGTCAGAGCTTTTCTTTTTCTTTTCTTTTCTTTCTTTTTTTTTTTTTTTAAAGCATTTGAATTCTACAAATTGATGTGTATTTCATGCTATCATTTTAAGCCAGAGACTGCTTTTAAAGTAAAGACTAAGTGGGTTTTGGGAATTTTAAGTGGAAGAGGCACATTGTGTTAGTGTGATTTTCATTTTCCTTGTATTATCCTTAGGTAAATTACAAATATAGTGCCTAAAACATTGTCCTCCAATTTTTACCTTAAGCTATCAAAGTAGCTAGATTAATCACCGCCAGTTAGAATCTATGTCAGTTCTCCAGGATTATATGTATAAGTAGAATTATACAAAAATATTCCAAAGTCCTAGTCCCTACTTCAAATGACTTGACAGATCTACATGACCCTAGTTGGATGGCATTGCCCTACATGTGGAACTGGAGTAGGGGGATGGGAGGGGAGGGTGGTCAGGGTGCATGTGAGGGGGCAGAAAGGGTAAGAGGGAGGGAGGGAAGAAGAAAGGAAGGGAGGGGGAACTGGGATCGACATGTAAAATAATAAATAAAATGTTCAAAGTTTTTTTTTTTTTTTTGAATACTAAATGCTGGATTGTCAGAACAGCTTTTGCAAAAAGTTTCACAGACTTATTTATTTATTTTTTTGTTTTTAGTGTTTGTGGTGAATTACATTTGTTGTTACACATTAAAACATTTCTTTTGAGTCTTGGGAATACCCATTATTGAACCCATGGCTTTACACTTATAAGGCAAATATTCAGCCATTTAGCCACATTTGCAGCCCTTAAAAACAGTGATGATGCTTTAGTCTTTAATTTTTTGTTAAAAATGTAATTATATTTAAGCTTTTTCTATGTAAAGTAAATCTTTTGAATTGATGATGTGATAATTAAATCATTTTTAAAAGAGACAAATCTGAGAATATAGTCTGTTTTGGGTTTGTTCTTTGATTCTTGGTAAAATATATCACAGATGTACAGATATATATTATGTTTTCTATACAGTGTTCTTAATTGGAAGTATTGATGTTGACATATAAATTGGTTCATTCCTCTGGTTCTGTTTTAGTTTCACCTTTTAAAGTTTTGATCACTTTAAATGTAAAATTCTCAAAGAATCTAGAAATAAAGAATTCATTAAACCCATATATGCATATTCACACACATATACATGGATGCTTTGAGATGTACTACATGTTTTGAGTCAGGAGTGGAGGCACACACCTTTGATCAGCACTTGGGAAGCAGAGACAGGCAGATCTCGGTGAGTTCACTGCCAGCCTGGACTACAGAGTGAGTTCCACATCTGCCATGGTAACAGAGCAAACACAAATATTTATAGTTTAAAAAAAAAAGTTTTCTAAGTTGTATGCATTAAAGTAATGCTTTCTAAACATTTTTTGTTCTAGCTGGATTTTTGTGTGGATCCTTTCAAATTTCACTGAAGTTTAATTATGGAACATACTTGACTAAATGAACTTTTTGGGGATCCACCCATATATTTAGCAGAATGACACTGCTTTTGTCTGAGGATATACTTAAGATGTTTAGACATGTATAACTTAAGCATTCTCTAGCAAGTTGTCACAAGTGTCACAAATTATACCAGCAGATTTAACTGCATATTTTCCACGTGGGAGTGGCAGAACAAATTGACTTTTAAATTGAGTTTCCTTAAAGAAAAACACATATACACTATCAAAGATTATTGCTTTAAGGCTTATTATAAAAAATAAAGTAAAATGAAACCCTCATACTCCAGTACCTTGTCCCCTGTTTACCTAGTTGCTCAGTTCTGTTTCCCAGAGGCAGTCATTTTCAGTGCTCTTATAGCTCACTGCCTCTCAAGCCACAGTATGCCATCCCTTAATCATGGTAGGGGTGTCAGGAGAGGGATTGCAAGTGCTGGGTGTGTGACTTTAGTTTTCATAATTACTTTGGAGGATATCACCTTTTGTGGATAGGATGTAGATAAGCAACTTCATATAGTGCTCTAAATTAGATTAGCAGACCTTCATATAATTTTGATTTTGAAGTCTGTAAAGTTTTGGTTACAGTTACTCAGGTAGGCCATTGTTGTATAAAAGCAGCCATAAGACAGTGTCAGTAGTTGGTGTGACTTTGCTTGCCTTCTAATAAGACATTTAATTTGAAAAAACTTATCGAGTTGATCATAGACGTTGATCATAGACCTTAGTTGTTAAACTGCAGGATGGCATCTCATATTACATGATGCAATAGTGCCCTTTAAGTAATACTGTCTACCTTGTCTTTCCTTAGTCTTTTTATTGCAATGTTACTTGTTAATTTGTGACTATATGATAAATGTTTGTTTTTTGTTTTTGTTTTTGTTTGTTTAATAAGCTCTCCCCCAGTAGTTTACTATTGACCAATGACAAAGTTCTGATTAAATGTGTTCATTATTTACATGATATGTGTGTGGGGTTGTAATAGTACCCTATAATAGACTATAATATTTCCAGTGTGTATGACTTATTTTTTGGCTTGATTTTCAAGTTTTATTTTGAAGCCTCAGAAAGCTGTAATCGTTTTCGTTGTGGTCATTCTCACTTAGCTTTTTTTTTTTTTCCCCTTCTTCTTCCTTGGGAATGACTTTGCTAGAATTGTGTATACTCCTGCAGGATGCTCTCCAGTGTTGTGCGTGTGTAATATAGCTTGAGAGTTCCCCTTATAGGTCTTTGTTCACAAAGAATTCTTTTTGAAATGAAAGCCTATTAAAACTGCTATAGCACTTCAGAAACTTCGAGAACTTGCTACTTGTGATTAGTTGAACATAGGCAATTACTTCTGAGCTCCAGTCAGCACTTTTTTTTAGATTGACCAGATAGATAATGGTTTGTAACATATTTTCAATTGTAAGTCCCTCTGAAATAGTGAAGAAAGGTAAGAATATAATTTTTGGAAAAATGTATGTGGTATTTATACATATGAAATATCACATTTGATTTGGAATTCCGTTTTATATGTCCTGGATTATATAACTTAAACATTTAGTATTTTAACAGTTTGCTTTTCTGATAGTCATTAGCTAGGATACACTTACACTGAGTTTTAAGTAAAACTCAGGATTTTCCCTCATATCCTTGGATGCTTGATTACACACTCACCTTAGAGGCAACTCTTCCTCATGGAAAATGGTGCCACTTTCATGTTTTTGTTTGAGTACTACAGATTAATTAGCTCTGAAGGCCATTACTCAGCTCATGAGCTGTTTTGAACTTGAACTCTAATATCAGATGTGAAATTTCCGGAAGGAAATTAAACAGGGCATTTTAAACTATTGTAAATGTTTATAGAAACTAAAATGACATGTGAGGGATCTTTATGCATGGTTTACTGTGGTATTTTTAAAATTCTTTACAATATGGTTTTAACCGTCTTTTAATGCCATGTAGTCATTATAATCATGAAGGATTTGAAAGTTCCTATTGTTAAAAAATTGTTTTTACTTATCTTGTAGAAACAGCTTAAGCAACACAACAGGAGAGAAGCCAGACAGTTTCAGGTTAATAATATACAGTTGGATATTATAAAAAAAATATTCTTTCATATTTGTACTTATATTTCTGAAGTGAGAGACTGATTTATCTTTGGGAAGGAATCCTAAATATTAAGAATATTATTTTTAAAAGACCCAATGATAAAAGTGGTGGTTTGAAAGAAAATAACCCCTGTAGGCTTAGAGGGAGTGACCTATAGGCTTACACGGAGTGACCTTGTTGAGTAGGTGTGGCTTGTTGGAGAAAGCGTATTACTGGGAGTAGGCTTTGATGGCTCAGAAGCTCAAGCCTGCCTTGTGTCTCTTCAAATTCTCAGCTTCTTCTCCAGCACCATGTCTGCCTTCATGCCACCATGCTTCCCACCATGATGATAATTTTGGACTGAACCTGAACTATAAACCAGCCCCAAGTAAATGGTTTCCTTTATAAGAGTTGTCATAGTCATAATCTTTCTTCACAGCAATAGAAACCCTGACTAAGATAATAGGGTTCTATGAATATACAGGTTAAGTTAGAGAAAATGAAGTTGTTCTCAGGAGATAAATGTGTAAAAGAAGGTTGATGTACAAATGCCCCCTAAATTAATAGCAAAGGAAAACACTACTAACTAACATTATAAACAGGTAATATTGGGGAACTAAAGACTTGAGGAAGAACAGTGGCCAACAATAAAACACGCTTGAAATTTTGTTTTTACTTTTTCTTAAGGATTCTTATATATATTTATAATTTTTTATTTAAATTAGAAACAAGCTTGTTTTACATATCAGTCCCAGTTTCTGCACCTTCCTGTCCTTCCCTGTTCCCCCCACTAACTCCCCTCCAATCCCCATTCTGCTCCCCAGGGAGGGTAAGGCCTTCCATGGGGAGTCTTCAAAGTCTGTCATATGATTTGGAGCAGGGCCCAGGCCCTCCCCCTTGTGTCTTGGCTGAGAAAGTATCCCTCTATGTGGAATGGGCTCCCAAAGTCCATTTGTACATTAGGGATAAACACTAATCCATTACCAGAAGCCCTATAGACTGCCCAGTCCTTCTAACTAATACCCATGTTCAGGGAGTCTGGGTCTGTCCTTTGCTGGTTTCCTAGCTATTAGACTGGGGTCCATGAGCTCCCCCCTTATTCAGGTCAGCAGTTTCTCGGGGTTTCTCCATTCTGGTCTTTACCCCTTTGCTCATCACTCCTCCCTGTCTGCAACTGGATTCCAAGAGTTCAGTTTATTTTTATGTGTTTATATATGTCTGTTTTTATATGTGAATGCTCTTAGCCATGTATGTGGTATCCATGGAGGCCTGAAGAGGTCATTGGACCCCATGTATGTAGTTTAGAGTTACTTGATGTGGGAGCTGGGAACCCAGCTTGGGTTCTTGTACAAGCTCAGTATACACTTTTAACCACTAAGTTATCTCTCTAGTCTAACAGATGCATGATCTGTGGATTTAAATGTTAATTAAGAGTGGGATTGAT